AGTAACAAGCCCAACATTGTCTCCAGAAAGAAACAATAGTAGATACTTTGAAACATCTGAAAAGAGTAACAAGCCCAACATTGTCTCCAGAAAGAAACAATAGTAGATACTTTGAAACGTATGTGAAGAGTAACAAGCCCAATGTTGTTTCCAGACAGGAACACTGGTAAAGACATGACACTTTAAACAGTTCATGAGGAGTACAAGTTCAATATTGATTCATTACAGGAACACACACAGACTTGAAATATCTGTAAAGAGTACAAGCCCAACACCATTTCCAGACAGGAACACTGACAGATACTTGAAACATCTATGAAAAGTACAAAGCCCAACATTATTTCCATCTGGAGATTTTGTATGGAAGGATGCTCACCAAGATCCATTGGAACTTAGAATCATCCATTACTTTGTGGATCTTTTGGGAGACTATATTAATGATACACACTGAATAATGGTTTTGAATTCTTTAATAATATTCAAAACTTAAAGCTTGTATAAGTTGAATGTTTGTATACTAATATATCTTTGAAATTAAGAGCTGAACTACTTATAAATAATAATTCAAATATATTTTTTGTAGTTTCTTTAGAACTATGGCTAAAAGTAAGTGCACTGTTATTGTTTTTTTAAACATATAAATGAAAAACGTTTTTGAGAGTGTAAATATCATTAGCTCTATTATTATTAAAATAACTCATTTATTTCAAAACTATTCTTATGAGGCTAAAAAAGTTTGTTACCATAGAACCTCATTTTTACCTTGAAATGTTATATACATGATGATATTTGTAAAGATTTTCTTGTAAAATATCGGTACACAAGCACGTAAAGCCGAAAAAGAAGCTAATAAATGTATTTGTATGGTAAACATCACAATTACGAACTACTATATTTAACAAAGCAAGTTTATGATCATGCTGGTGTTCAACAGTGTAATGAACTCTATTATGATTACTATTCAGATATTCTAGAATGTCTAAACAACATCATGGAAGATGATAAGTTTTATCTACATATCTTTTTTAGTATAATGGTTTAAAACTGAGACATTCCTTAAACCATTGTCTTTCATGAAGGCCACAGAAGGAACTTGTAGCTCAACCACCAAGTTTAATCATAAAGATGGCCATTAATAAACATTCTTAGCTGTTAAGAAACATTCTTAGCTGCTTGAAATCAAACACCTTGCAATATATGGGTCATGGGTTCAAATCCCGTCATGAAACGTTCTTGACCTTTCAGCTTTGGAAGAATTATAATGTGATGGTCAATCCCATTATTCATTAGTAAAAGAGTAGTCCTAGAGTTTATAATGGGTGGTTTTGATTATCTATCTCCCCTTTAGCTTATCACTTCAGAATTAAGAATGGCTAGCACAGGTAGCCCTTCTATAGCTTTGTACAAAATTCCACAAACAAATCACTAACAATTATGAAACACACAACTTTTGAGATTCAAATTTAGTCATTTTATAGAAATACCACAGATGACTTGCCATACCATACATTTAAAATAATATTTGGACCTTTTATACTTCTGTAATTAAACTATTAAAATGTGCCTAATTTTTACAGTTTAAATACCACCATGAACTTCAATACCCAGTCTATCTATATTTCTTAAATATTTACTGTATCGTGTTAAATTATATTTAGATTCAGATTTTCTAATACTCAGCAAGTTTATTTTCCTCTATAATATTTTATAGTGAGAACTTTACAATATGGTGCAATTATTCAATCTTTAGATTTTACTCTTTAACACTGATCAATTATATTTGAATAATAATAAGCTAGTATTAAGAAAAGGTTCAGTAGTTTTAAGATAAACTTTCTTTGTATATTGCACTGTTTCATAAGATAAACAACAAAGAAAAAGTTTTTGATTTCTAAGTGATACATGTGCAATAAGTACTTTTCTTGAATTATTTCTTAAATATAACTATCACAAAAACAAAGAAATATTAGACTAAAATAATTAATGCTCAGAATATGTAATAAAAATGTTAAATTTTTCATTAGAGTTATAGTATAATAACTGTGTATATATTATAAGTAACTTGTGAGCTGAACCTACGTGGTTTATTTCAGGCTCAGTCTATGAATGAGCAAGCTCTCTGTTATGCAGAGACTTTGTTAATCATTGACCCTTGCTAAGATCTTAAAAGTAACTTGAATGTACAACTTTGTCATATTCACCTAGGGCATGTTAGATCCAACAGAACCTTGCTTACGTTTGATCTAATACATCCTTGTTTACAACTGATGTTTTCAGTCTTTGTATCTGCAAGTAATACGACAAATGACATCCTGGTTTCAAAATACATCTTAACTATTTCTGCAGCATGAAGGAGAAGACACATGCATACAAAGCATGTTTATGAAAATCTGATAAGGTAGTAAAAAATTAACATTTAACATTTTTAAATGTTTTGAATTCCCTACCCACCAGTGATACACATGCACGAACATATCGTTTAACTGTAAAACTTAATAAATTAGAGTTCTGATGAGTTTTAAAAGATGAGTTTTTAGTTGAATTCCCTACCCACCAGTGATACACATGCATGAACATATCGTTTAACTGTAAAACTTAATAAATTAGAGTTCTGATGAGTTTTAAAAGATGAGTTTTTAGTTGAATTCCCTACCCACCAGTGATACACATGCACGAACATATCGTTTAACTGTAAAACTTAATAAATTAGAGTTCTGATGAGTTTTAAAAGATGAGTTTTTAGTTGAATTCCCTACCCACCAGTGATACACATGCACGAACATATCGTTTAACTGTAAAA